CATCCGTAGACAACCAAAAATTCCCATTTTCCTTCATTTGGGTAATAGTGATTTCACATGCCTATCAGAGCAGCTTGTCATGGGCTTACACTCTTATAAGTCCCAGTCTTGTACTTCCATGAATCCTGTTCTCTTTGAAATGCTGCATACTCTGCTCCCACCTGAAGAGCTATGTAAAATACAATGTAAATCAAGAAAAAGCACCTCCTATAGCTAGTCCCAGCAGAGCCACATTACAGAAGCCCAGAGTTCCTGTTGACCACAGGACAAAACATTTCAGCAACTTGCACAAGTTGCTCTGAAAACTGCACTTTTCAAGTGTCACCTATAAATCCAAATAGGACAAGAGTGGACAGTCTTGCACAAAGTACTTAACAAAAGCACATGCTTTGGCCATGCACAGTTCCACAGGAGACAATCAAAGGCTGTGGAAGCTCCCAGGCTTTCATGTTTCTGTGATGGCCATGTCGAAGCTGCTATGGAAGAGACACCTACTAGTAAGGATTACATATGGCTTTATATGGGTTTATTCTTCATCTTTCCACGTTGCACAAAACTGACAGTCTCTTTCCATCTGCTTCCTCTCCAGAATATTAAAAATAGCATTTGCAATAGAGACATAACAGTCTTATTTTTCAGTTACAAGAAATTCCACAAGCACTACCATCCCCAGCTGCTTCCTCTCCCTCTAGACCCAATCACTGCCCTTCCTGTTACCTACTTCAGCTAAAAAAAAACAACCATTAAATCAAGTGTAATACTTGGCAAGTGCATTTATTGCAGCAGTAGATACGTAACTGGAAGAAAATAACCCTGCACATAAACAGAAAAGGTACACAGCCTCTCAGCTTCACTAATCCATTCAGCTAATACCAAAGTCTGTCCTTCATGAAAGAACTGGCTACACAGTGATTTCAAGCAGTTTACACCAAAAAGTCATCTGAAAAGCCCCTAGCCAGCAAGCCCCAAACCAGAGAGAAGGAGGTTCCCAAATGGTGAAGGGACGGCACTTAATAACTGTGGTTCACAATCATTGTGCCACTACATCTCTAAGCACCTCTGCTTTTTTATCCCATGATTTCTTTAGTAAATTTCCCTGTCTCTCTAGCAAAACGCCACAGTGTATGGAGAAGAAAGCATGAACACAGAAGAGCTAGAAAGAGACAGGAAAAAAAAAACCCAAATAACAAAAAAACCCACTAACTTTGAAATTTGACCCATGAAATAACATAACCCAGCACAGAGCCATGAAGAGTTGCAGGATAGTCCTTTAAGGCATTTGCTGTTTCACACAAAAAATCATTGCTATAGAAAAGAAGGGAAACCTGCACAATAAAACAGCAGCACAACCAGTTCCAAAAAGCATTATAAAAACCTACGGCCACAAAATTAAAGCAGCAGCCAACACTGCAAGCCAAGTACTAGAGAAACGACACATCGCTTAAAATTGCGCAAAGGCCCCACAGTGATACCAAGTTCTACCACCTGACTCGCACTGCTCCACTATCAGCCTTCTTTTTTTATCAGTGGTCTTGTGACTGAAAATGAGTGTTAATTTAGCCATTTAATTCATGATTATGATGCTCATTAGTGTGTCCTCCATGTCACCTGACAGCAATAAAAAGGAAAAAACATACTTATGAGAGTAGCAGGAGCATGAAATAAATCGTATCTAACTATGCTGCTTGTGTAGGGGGGCAAAAAATTTCACCACTGGATTTCTACCTCAAATACAAATGAATTCTGGCAAAGCAACGATTAACAAAGTACCTTATTTTGGCGTAACAAAGTGCTAGAGACATCAGTCTGCTGCACCTAAAGCACAGCAGTCTGCAAAGAAAAACATTGAAATAGCTCTGGTATTTCACCGCAGCCACGTTAAAAATGCAACTCAACCCCCTGGGCATCAGCTCCCAGGCAAGGGACAGACACCCAGCAAGGAAGCAGGACATTTGATTCAGTAACTGAAAGGGTTCAGATGCTGCCCAGGCTCCTGCAGCCCTACCTGACTGATGGCCTTTCCTCAAAAATTCAGCCGGATTTTTTTCCCCACCAAACAGTATTCTGATCTTTCTCCTTCCCTGATCTCAACACCACAGCTTCCATCAAGTCTTTCATTAACTATTCTAGGATGACTAGGAACAGCAAGGAAATAGCCTGAGCTTTTCTTGTTGCTCGCTTGCTTTAATCTTTGTCTATTATATCATTTTCTTGTCTGTCAACATGAGATTTTATAAGCTTACTAGATGGTTTAGTAACTTTGAAACCCCGACAGTGTTCATGCTGAAGCTTGTTAAGACTGATTTTTTGGGGGTAATTTTAATTTTTTCCCCTATGAAAACCAAAATTTTAAAAAAAACTTCCAATTTTCAATTTCTTTTTCACCTATAAATAACTTTACAATTCATGAAACAAAAGAAAATTGAAAAACGGGAAAATGCATTTTTCATTATTTACAATGGTGGAACCTTATAAGTTTGACATGATGAACTATCTTTTCTTGATTCGCAAATAACATACTAACATACTAAATACAGGACAAAATCACATCCTTTTTTACAGAGTTTTATTGCAATAAAATATTTAAACTTAATTTGTTTCTTGTTTATTGCTCTTTAGTTTTGTATTCTGAAGTATAAAATAAAAATCCCATCTAATCAACTTAAAAACCCCAATGAATATAAATTTAAGCTTTGACAATTTCTATGAAACTAACACTAGTGTATCGCAAATTTCCATTTTGATCACAAAGCCCATGACAGAAGACAAGCTATACACTGCTTTGATTCCATAAATCAAACTTGAAAGCTGTTTCAATCTACAAAAAATATCCTGACAGAACACAGCTATTAGCTTTTATTAATCAAAACTATAAAGCACAGTTCTCTCAACTTCATTTTTCCCTCTTTTGTTCCCTAATTTATAATATTTGCTATATAATTTGCTATATAATTGCTACGCTGAAACACAGAAAGTGTCAGAAATTGTGACTACACACGAGTTCACCCCATTTTCCACACACTGAGGCACTAGGATTTCTGAAAAGCCATTATCACTTTTGAGTATGTGCAAAGCAGATGGATTATTTGTTTGCCTGGGTAACTGCTACTTTTTTTGGCAAGCATCCCAACTGTTCTGATATCAATTGTTTGAAGCATGCATCCTACTCAACCATTTGTACTCAATATCCATCAACAACTTCATTTGGAGCAGCTTAGAACAGATAAATATTTGGCCTTTAATATGCTAATAGAAAGAACTTTCATATAGGTTATTTCATGAGCCTGAACCTTCAGGGGGCAAACAGCACCAGTACAGGGCAGCTAGAAAGGGGCAGAGGGGCTGTCAGCAAAGACGTGTCCATCCTCCCGGACTCAAAAGCAAAAGTACCTCACATTGCCTGCAGTGAATAACGTGAACTTCAGAAGACACAACTTAAACTGCAAATTTGCAGAGTTAATATGTTAGAAACAGTTGTAAAAAATAGGAATTATTCGTTATGTGTTCATGTTCTTTTTAAAATTTTTTCTTGCACAGAGCTCAAGAATTAACTCTTGAATTTGTATCTTCTCATTCTTACTATCTAGCTATCTTCATGGGATAGAGGCACAAAGACTTCCATCACAAAGTTTTACAAAAAACACTTCTTTCAGGCAAGGCACAAAGTCAGGATTTATTAGCTTTAGTAATTTTTTTTTAAACATTAAATACAAAAAGTGGCTGAAATGTAGATGTAAATACAGTTGTGCCACAGTTTTCAAAGAGGTTAAAAATCAGTTACATACCCAGAACTGTAAAAAGCAGTTAAAGGAGCTCAGGACATAGAGATTGTTTACCATAACTGCTCAGAAAGCACACAGTCTGAAGATACTCAGCAACCTCTAGTAACAAACAGCTCCTTTCTAATCTTTTATTTGAAAAGCATTTAGCAGTTCTTTATCCAATAATGGAAGCATTAAAGAAGAGTACAGATAAAATTTACTCAAGCTGAAGCATAAATGAAATGAACACAATTAAAATCAAGTAAAACTGATTATTTTGGTTGAGCATTTCTTAGAATATATGCTAAGATAATATGCAAAAAGAGATTCAAGAACTTCTCAATTAGGGTGTAGAGTAGCTGCCTGATATAGTCTAACAATTATAGAAAATTGTATTTCAAAGCTTGTTACATGTAACTATCCTAGATAACAAAATACATTGAAGACAACCATCCATGTGCTTGTTTACAAGTGGAAGTTTATTCTTTTGAAAAGGGGTATAAAAATCTGCTCCAACACTAAACATAAGGCAATGCATGATATAACCCTAAGGTAGCAAGTCACATGAAGCACAAGTGGGAGAAAATACTACATTCTTAAGGAAAGTGTGAGAATTTAAAGTCCTTAGAAGGGTAAAGTTACTTGCAGATGCTGATTATAAGTCATCCTATCCAAAATCCTGAGACCATTGTGCCATGTCTTGTGGGAGGATATTTCTATCATTATCAAGCTAGTTTTACTACCAGAAAATGGCAAATAGTTTTAAGAACCTGTTCTATTTCTCAAGCAAGTAGAAAAACCTCCTTTTACACTGTAGTTCCACCTTTGTTAATGATCTATAAAAAGAGCAAAGGTAACTTGTTCATTCACTCCAGTGAGTAAAGGCCATGGATTCAGACTTCACTACTACAGCATGAATGGGTGTTTTAACAACTTCCTTTTTGCATTTCCATCAACTCCAATGATCAGTGAACCCTAAATTCAATTTCTCAGTGTTGCCATATTTGCAGCACAAAGGTTGCAAGCCCAGGTTTCAACAAGCTGTGGATTTCACATAAGTATCTTAATTTTTGTATTCATCTTACTTTTAGAAAAGATTTTTTTTTCTAAAACTTAAGGCAAAAAAAAAAAAAAAAACTTACGTCACTTTAAAATGTGAGGTGTAGGGAGCAGTTTAAATATCAAAAAGCTATCACCATATACAATATTACCAACAAAAGAATAAGGCAACATGCACTCTTACGATGAAAAGAATTTAATTTTACAAGATGTTTAAATAATCCAAAGGCAAAAAAGTGTCTGTCCCCTCCAACAGCATTTTAATAAAACATGGAAATTTTAGAAGACATCAAGTTACTAAAATATTCTGTTCAACGTTTATACAAATACATTACTACAATTATAAGAATACATACAGTCAAAAGACATTTCAGAGTTACCCAATTACTTAAATTTACAAGACAAACATAAATAAAGCTGTTAAAACAGGCAAGTACAGTACTGATCTATCATTAAACACAACATTTTATAATTCTTTCACCTTGAAACCAGATTAGAATTGTGTGGTCGCTCTTCAAACCTAAAAATAAAAGAGAAATAAGTATATCTGTAAGTTTTACACTACATAGCCATATCCCAAATGCCGAAGTCCTGTTTTCAGATATTTAATTTACCATTTAACAAAAATCTGCTTGCTCTTAGAAGAGGCCACAGTCTTTCAGGTTATTTTTTATAATTACATCAGTTACAGCATCAAAAACAAATTGCACATTCTTTGTATCTGTGGCACATGTGAAATGAGTGTAGATTTCCTTTGTGTCTTTTCTTTTGTTCAGATCTTCAAACTGGCATTGAATGTAGGCAGCTGCTTCTTCATAAGTGTTAGATCCTAGAAGGAAAAAATTGTTCAATAAGCAGATTTCAAATCGAGAAAGAACAAGATGAATGTTGCATCTCTGCAGAGATCTTTTTGAAACAGTTAACCTAAATATGAAAAGCAGGATGTTGATTTAGTTTCAGACATTGTTTTAAGGTACCATGAGTAACTCTTGTTAAAGAAAATATTTGGACATTTTTTTTAATATCAAAAACGAAGGAGTCAATGCAACTGCAACACCAGGGGTTTTTTCATTTTCTTTAGTGACAAATAGAACAAGTCACTAACAAACCACTGCTTTTCTGCAGACTGACATATTTTGGCTACTTCAATCAAGTTATTCGTGCTTAATTTTCCTGTTTTAACAGGATTTGATGCTACCCCCCACTATCATTCCATTAAATACTTTTTGCACCTACATTTCTTCCAAGCTTATCTCCAGCTTACTACCTTCCATAAGATGGAATAATCTAAAATTAGAATGAAAAAAATGACACAAAAGGATACACTTTTGTGAATAAAAATCTTAAAAAAAAAAAAAAAATAGCTGAAAGCTACTAGACATTTTTCCCCCCCTCTCCATACCTGAATATTCAGGGTAGCAAATAGTGAGGGGACTTCTTTTGATTTTTTCTTCAAAGAGATCTTTCTTGTTTAGGAAGAGAATAATAGAAGTGTCTGTGAACCATTTATTGTTGCAGATACTGTCAAACAATTTCATGCTCTCATGCATCCGATTCTGTATTGGAAAAAAACACCTTATTGTATCTTATCAGTTTTCAGTAATAAAATTAGAATACATATATTTGATAAGAAATTTACAAGTGATGCAGACAAGTTACAGAATTAAGCAGCTAGCATCTGGAATCAAGGTTTATCACAGAGAAACACAGAGGCCAAGATCATTACACTGGACTACCTTAGAGCAACACTTTCATAAGAAGTACTCAAGAAACTGCTTCCTGTTCTTTGTTCTCACTTCTAGGCTTAAGCCCATGTTTAATATTTTAGGAATTTGTGTTCTGCAATTACAGTTATATTCTGGCAGAGTTACTGTGTTACCTCAACATTTTATTTTAATGAATAGTTCTTCTGAAAGTTGAAAACTAAGTTTGGCACCTACCCCATATTCCAGCATAAAAAAATAAAAAAAAAACCTACAGACCTAAAAAAAAAATCAAGTGAGTAATTTTTTTTAAAAAACATTTTTTAAACTGTTGAAAACACATCCCATGTAAGTATTTTCGTCAGACTTTTATCCATTTAAATAGGACACCAACTATGACTCTTCTTGACTAAATCAGACTTGAAAGTCCTTCTCCCCCCATCTTGCTCCCCTGTTGTAGCTCCTTTCCATCTTCCCCCTCCCCCACACTTTCTTCATGCATTTTAAGGGAAGCAGAACACTAGGAAGATCACAGAATTCTCAAAGATTTACAGACAATAAACAAGCATCACTTTAGAAAACTATAAATAAAAAGCAGATAGAAACTTTGTGCACACTGTTATGGGAAGAGGAACATTTCAGAGGAGAGAGGACTGAAATCGTCCAACTATTCCTGTTGAAAACATCAGGAAATATTTCTGATACTCAATCATGATCTGTACCACAATTTCTCATACAACCACAAACTTAAAGGAACACTCTCTCAAAAAGGTATTCAGCCCTCCTTTCAAACTCACATAGTTCCTATCCCACAACTATTAAGTTCTTCAAGATTAAGGTACTTGCCATTTCTTCATCTTCAGCCAAGACTAAGTCATAATCACTTAATGCCACACAAAAAATAATTGCTGTAACACCCTCAAAACAATGAATCCACTTCTTCCGCTCTGATCTTTGACCTCCAACATCAAACATCCTGCAAAAAACAAAAGAGCATGGAATGAACTTTGCGACTTCTAGCTTTCTGCATGTTAGCCAATAAAATCTGAAACTAACAATTGTCTAAATCAAATCAAAATGTGAAAGGGCATAAAATTGCAATACTGCATTTTGCAATACCTAAGTATGAAAAACAATTTTAATAAAACCTTAAATATCTTTGCATGCAACCTTTTACAATAAGAGATAAAGAGAACCTAAGTTTATTAGACACCATTATGGAGTCTTCTTCAAGCCTAATATCATCCTGCATGTTTTGAACTGTGAGCCATATAAAACAGGAGACAAACACTGCTGACCTGAAATTAAGAGATATGAATCTTTTCCTCATGTCAGAACATAAATCTTTCCCACCTGTCTTATCCCTATCACAGAAGTCTGTTGTCTCAAATTCTGATGGTCATTTATGGCTTCAAGACAACAAACAAGGTCACCATGCAATGCTCCCTATTATTTTTCTTTCATAGTCTTATCATGCAAAAACTTTCCTCCTGGTTACAAGGGAACGTAAAGAGTCCTTTAAAAAAAACAAACAAACAAACAAAAAAAACTTTTTCCTTTCTTTATGGGTTTTCAAGGTCAATGTTAACATCTTTCCATGTTGTCAATATGAGGAGTTTAGAATTCAATACGTATAAAAATGTTCAAATAGCAGGGGGGAAAGAGAAGGGAAGAACACAGGACAGATCAGTTCCTACACCAGCATTCAGTTTGCTCCAAGCAGTAGAAAGGTCAGTATCATTAATCTCTTAACTGGGTAAGTGTCTCTCATCCAGGGAGGCATTAGTACTAAGGATACCACGTTAAAGTCTTAAAGTGGACAACAGAACATGCAGGGATGGAAAACTACAAATTGTTTCTTTATAGAATATAACAATGCATAAGGAAACTGGTTGACAAAACCACCAAGAAAATCACTTCTTGTATCCTTTAGCAGATATCAGCTTTTAACGACCACGAGAACTTAAAAGCTTTATACTGATGGCAGCACTATAATATCAATCTGCATGATCTCAACCACTTCAATAATGTTCTAAGATAAGGCTCAACACAAAACCATCACCACTGAGATGGTAACTGCAAGTGCAAGAAAATGGCACAACTTTCCATAGGGATTAAAGTAGTGCAATAAAAAGCTTTCTTTTTGAGAATAAAAATCTGCAGAAAGAAAACACAACTGTATAAGCAGCATCATATCCTGATAGTCTTGCTGCTCTTATAGTATCAGAAGGTCTGTCTACCAAGCACAGTTCTGGCTTCTTTAGAATATTGCCAGGCAGAAGACTTAAGACACAAAAGTAGTATCATTTCCAATTACATACACAAATGCTCATTTTAGTCAGAAATCTTTGCTTCAGTTCAGAAGAGCCTTCTGCCTGTGGTGTATTTCACAAGCATCAACTGTCTTTTTTGGTTTATCTTTCTAATACAGCATGCAACAAATTCCCAGTTCTTTATGCAAACCATATTCTGGACTCATCTTTGAGATTGTTTATGTAGTAAAATACAGCACTGAGTGGATTTTTTTTTCTACAGTCAACATGCCAACAGAAACAAGATGGATTATTTTTTAATATAATGAAGCTTCATCTACACAGTTCAAAGATGAGCATACTGAAACTATTTAGGAAATACTTTAGTAATAACTGAAATTCTTCAGTAACAAAGATAAAGCTGTGAGCATCTTTCAGCAATGTTAGCCATTCTGAACAAAGAGGCCTCACGAGTTCTTCTACTCTCTAGATGTCATACTGATGCTTGTTAGGTCACAGTCTCAGCAGACCAAAACATTCAGAGAAGCCCTTTAATCTATAGAAAACTCTTAGCACACCCTAGGAGGGGAAAAAAAAAAAAAAAAGGCTTCGATACTCTACAGATTCCACTTCCCAATATGGAAAAGGTTAAATGGGAAAGCTCATCTTTTAGGCATTTGCCTCAGGTAACAAAATTCATGGAAGTCACGTACAGGTTTGGCTACTCAAGAGGATCATGATTTTGCCCACGTAAAGCAAGTCAGAATTCGCAGTAGATTCAACAAATACAAAGCCATGCTGAAGGAGCAGGTGTTTATAAAGGCTGAATTTACCTTCCTTACCTAAAGTACTAGAGACATCATTTAATGACTTTCTATTTCACTTGCATAAAGCAAGTCTTTTGGTAATATTATCAAGTGACTATGCCACATTAAGAGGAATTATTTCACTGAAATTGAAGTAAACATAAAGCATTAAAAGACTTTTCCAGTCATCATCCCAGTAAGCATGTTACTTAGCTATTTTTATATTACACAAGTGGCTTTGAGTGGATTATTTGGAAGGGAACATATTTAAGGACTGGTGAAAGATATTTCATTAGCATATTTTGACAGCTTTATGCAAGACAGTTATCAGATTTGACATATTCTGCCTTCTTCATATTATTTAAGTCAAGAACATGATTCCAGTATCAATACAGAATGCAATATAGGCATTAAGTATTTGCTGTGGTTGCTTTTGCTTCTTTAAAGTTACACAGGTTGTTCATCTCAACCTTGCAATTTTCAATAAATATTTCAGGTAGGCTGGGTGTTTACAAAAGACACACATATCTAGAACTCAAGAGAAATTCAATCTTTCACATTTTTAAATTGTCAGATATCTCCTATTACCCAGTTTTTTCTTAAACTACCTCCAACTTTATGTTTGTGTACAGCTCAGAGAAGTGTTTTTTATTACTACTCCTACTACCACTCTGCAGTTTAGATGACATTAGTTTGATAACGGAGCTTACATTCTAGGAGTTCACTATTTATAAAGCACCATATTAAAAAGAAATTACAAGCCTATTAAATAATAGGCTAGTGTACTACATAACTCAATAAGTTGCATTAGGAGGCATTTAAAGTTATTTTAAGGAATGTTAAAGTGTTCAAAGCTGCTAAATTTGCATTTTAAAAAAATAATCAAATAAGTAGAGAAGAAAACAAAATAAAGAAAAAATAAAAATGGACAAAAAGATGTTGAACTTTTTTTTGTTTGGATATGCTATTATACAAGTGACTATGCTCATTCTCATTGTTCATTTAGTGTTCTGTAGTGGAATAATGCACACTAAAAACATTTTAAAGATTATTTCCAATAGAATAAAAATGGAAAAAACTTATTTCTTCACATATTAGAATTTTGTACCAAACCCAAAATGTCACAATGAAATTCAGAATTACCAGAAAAAATATTTCTATGAAATCAGATATTCTTTGAAAACAGAAGTAACTAATATTGAGGAAGTCTTGACTTCTTAAGTAGTTTATAGAAGCAACATGAGGCATACATTAAAATATTTTACACGTAAAACACTTAAAGCACCTCAAAGGAAAGCATTTATTACTAAGTACATTTAAATACTCAGATGCTGAGTTATTTACAAGAGTTCCCATGACCACCACATCCCTTCAAAAATGAAGGAATTTGAGGCCAAATACGAAGAAATACTCCAGGAAAACAAGCACACTAAACAAAGCTGTGTCTAGCAAATTTGATAAATTGCATAACAATACTTTCTAGAACTTTATAGAAGTCATAGAAATATGCATCATGATTTACATACTTAAAATGAAGATCTTTGAAAGTAAAGTGAGTTTCCACTATTCCTGTGGTTTTCACTCTAGTCCTGAGAACATCCTGTTGAGTTGGAATGTAGCTGGTTTGTGCTATCCTGTCCAAGTCATTCAAGTAACTAAAGGTAAAAATAAACACTGCTTTCAGTTATTTACAGAACAGAACAGTAATCAGATAATACAAAATTATGTAGTCCATTCATTGCTGTACTTGTTTTTATAAAAGCCAATTTTCTTTAAGAAAAAAAAGGAGAAGACGTTACAAGATTATTTGCCTAATTATGAGAATATAATTGAGATGTTTTATCCTACAAAAGCAAAATCTGACACAATTGATTGCACAAATAAAAAAATCTTCAAAAATCACAAAATGGGAACTGTATTTTTTTTTTTTTTGCAATCAACTAAACGAACATTTTCATCTTTGCATCATTCTATTGATGCCCAGGCTACTTTTCTGAAATCAAAAATTTCCTGCAAATAAAATGGAAAATAAGTGTGAAAAGAACAATCCAGTGTTTTGGGAATAACAAATACAGGCAATGCTTAATACATGACTAGCAACTTGTTATTGGGAATTTTTAATTATCTACATTTTTTCATAATGTAATTTTCATTTCCAAAGCTTCTGTGATTCAGGTCAAGAAGCCTAGCATTTCTAAATATACATTTTATTGGCCTTTTTTGTAGTAAGAAATTATGCTTTTTCTCTTTTAGTGTAGCACATTTAAGGATAGAAAAAATTCTTATGGAATTGGAGGAAGAGATACTTAAATCAGGACAACAAAAGAAGAACAGAGAAGGTTATCAGAGAAAGGTAAAGTATCTTCAAGCCTTGTCATGAACCGTAGTTAAATAAGATAGTGTGTGTGCTTGCATAAGTGAAAGGCTCTGTCATCTTGAGTTCAGCTTGTTGGGTCAACCTCTCTGTGCCTTTAATGCAAGTCCAGCAAATAAATAATAACCATGCAGAAAACAGTGGGTGTTTTTTTTTTTTTGACACTGCAGTAGCACATTTCTATTCATTCAGCATGCCTAGGATTACATTACTCCAGCTGTAATCATATAGTAGTTACTTCACCTAGAAGCAGCGAATTTTAAGGGAAGCACATAACTTCAAACATTACCAAATAATTCAGAAACATAAGACTTGAAGAGCTGCCTTCTAAGGATACTATAAACACCACACCATTCTTGTGTCATCTTCTTTCCTCTGATTCTTTCCCTTGACTGACTTGCCATCATGTCTTACCCCTTGATTCCTAACTACATTTACTTTCTCTCCTTTTTTTCATCTTCTTCCATAAAGTAGTCAGGCTTCTTGGACAAGTTCAGATACTGAAAAAGTAATTGAGTCATGTTTTTGTAAATAAATGCCGTTTAACATTTTAGAGCAACAAAAGCAATTTTTTGCCTTCTTCAATAGACTAGAACAACTAGACAGGACATGAGTCAAATGTAGAACAACACCATAACCCTTCCTCTTCAAACTCAGGCAGCAGCTGCATCATTCTGACCCATGGAGACAATATTTGTCTAGTTATTTCAGCATTTTATATCTATGTAGGAACAGAATTCCTCAATAGATGAAACAACTTTAAGTTCCTTTAGCCCATACTGACAAGAGAGGGAAAATCTTGTTTGTTACCCAGTACTTACTAGGCAGCAGAGTCATTAAGCTGGTATTCTCTAGATCTGTTGAAACAAGCTTGAACTCCACTGTCTTTCCACAGTCTCTTGATAACTCCAGCAAGCTCAGCAGTCATAAATCCTTCTTCTGCTGCTCCAGCTAACACAAACAGTTGACGAGCATCATCCTTTAGGATACAAAAAAAACAAGGAGACAAGTGTGAAATGCAACAGGACTACACTTGCAATGGTTCATCATCTAAAGTTCAGATCTTTCAAACAAGTTTTCTTCAGAAAATATACATGGATGTAATCAACCTCAAAATTATGATGTAAAATGACTCGTCTTACTATTCTACTCAGGGTGTTAGTTCCTACATTTTTCAATAACAGAAAAAGACAAGTTAACTGAATTTCTTATAAGCTGATAAAAATCAACCTTCTTCCAATCCATTTATCATTTGAATTGAGTTATGATTATCTCTTCCCAAATCATTCACCAGGTCTGAGATCTACACCTCTTCCCACGACTTTTTCCAGGTAAGGCAGGGTTACAAATAACCCCTACCTTAGTTATTCCACAAAAATCAAGTTTCTTCCTTGTGTAATTTGAACAGCCTGCTAATTTTGACAGCAGAGACTTGAAAGGTATTGTTATGAAACAGATAACAGCTAGCAGAGAAGATACCAACATTAGTACTGTCATGAAGGTAGAAGCTTGACCTTAATTATCAGATGTGCGCGACCTATACTACACACCAGCCAGCAAATCGGCGTATTTGTGGCTTAACTACCCACAGCATGTACTGTTCATTTTCAGAGAAAACCAAAAGGTAACAGATCACATTGGAAAGGATAAAGGGGGAAAAAAAGGAAGGTGTAGGCACTCAGCTTGAAATTGAAAGCATTTCAGAAAAGATGATAGAAAAGTAACATGCAAGATTATTCTCATATAACTGTAACTGTAGGTACAGAGCGGAAAGTCTGAGGTGGAAGATGAGAACAAAGTTCTGCCACCTTTACTGTTACAGCTAATTGGAAACTGTTTGCAAATTGCCTCTACTTGATTCAATAGAAGTAATGTTAATAGCTTAAAAACAAAAAGCTTTATGTGAATCCAAGAGACTTGAAATTTATATGCATCTGTATACTTGTATGTAGTTATACATACGAACAACAAATAATTAACAGTTGTTAATACATAGTTCAAGAGATCTTTTGAAAGCTTAATTAGCAACAAAAAGAGAAGCGCTTGCCAAAAACTTTACAGAATAGTGATTGCTGTATGTGCAACAGGTCAAATAATGCAAGTAATTAGTAAAACTTGAATGGATTGTGATTTATTACATTAAAAACAGTCAGGGCACAAGATGGTCAGATCCCACTGCCTGGAGTTTGAACAATATGCCCACATAATGGAAAAATGGATGACAATTCTGCTCTTGAATACTATTTGTGGGTGGAAAGGCCATGGATGTACAACTTTTTCAAAAAGTCAATCATGAAAGACAACATAATTTACAACACGTGAGAAAAACAGATTGGAAAGTACCAAGTCAATTTTGTCATGAATGAAAAAAAACATTTTGCACCTACCATGATCTAACTTTCAAATACAAAAGTTAATTCTGGCCAGCAACCCTATATAACTTTTTCCTATTATCCAGTGAAACTGCCGTCTATCAAGAGGAATAAGACGGAAGAGTTGTTGCAAATACAGCAGATCTACATCATCTCTGACTACTTCTTGAAGGAAGGGCAAGGGGCAGGATGCCACAACAGGAAACGGCAAAGAAAAAAAAAAAAAGACACACAAATTTCAGTTTTTAAAAAGCTCATCTATTAAAACAAAAAGGGTTATTTGTTCACCCCATATTTCCCTTCTAAAGATAGAAACCACATTTGTGGAAATCAAATACTGCCAATACAGAACAATTAAATCTTATTTTCACTAGGCAGTGTTATATACTTCTCTAAGGCTGGAATAGGGCATGTTCCACTCTAGGACTTACATTTTTTGTATCAGATTTCATAAATGAGACATTGCACAGAAACTCATTTAGCCATGTCTTAAACTTATGGCACCAGATCTCATATCTAGAGAGTTGATCATCCTTTAAAGTATTCACTGTGTGTCACTCATAGCATGCTTTTTACCTTCAGTATTACTTTGTCTTCCAGAACATTGAAACGTACAGTCTTCAGACTGTTACTGGAGTAAAGTTGTCAGTAATTTGTGATCATATAATTCGACAGCTTTACAGAAAAACTTGTGTGTTCAACTCACTGATTTACCATGAGTCCAAAAAAAGGGATCAAAAGATTTTCCAAATGAAATCATTCCAAATAAAACCCTCACCAACTCTCATGAAGAAATTTGAGAAAAAAGTCTTAATGAAACAGTTTTCCCAATTTCCTGACTCCCCAGTTGTATACCAGAAGCTCTGGACTTAGCTCTGGATTTTTCCCCTATTTTTGTTTTTTACAATCAATAAAAATCTGGGGCTGATCTGCTACAGCAATTTTGTCCTAGAAAAGAACCTGGGAGAAGTTAAGATCTGCCTGAATGCAGAAGGATGAGCAGTTATTTCAGGACCATCCCTAACAAATATTTATCCTCATCAGTTACACACTCAGGATAAAAAAAAAAAAAACATCTCACTGGAGTTCAAATTGATATCATAAGTAAAATAAACCTCAAAAACATCTTGCTAGCCACTTATCTGCTCACTATCAGATTACCTCCCCTCCATTTGTTTTCACTATGTATTTAGTTACGAATCTACCATATGCCTCTAACACCAACAGCCAGATTCTGGAAAAGACTATTGCACAGCTACCAGACTAATGTGCAGTGAGATACTGGTCCTCCACAGAAAACTTTGGTCTTGAGGCAACACAACAGCAAACATGAGAACAGGTGAGGAGAGGAACAGCCAATAATAATGTATGCTTAATTGTGAGCACAGCTAATAAACCTTCTTCAGGTAAATTCCACATATGTGCATAAAATAACAACTAATCAAACAGTGAAAGCAAAATGTCTAATAATTTACATATAAGTGACAACAGGGAGATTTATAGTTCAATTATACCTTTACCATCCACTTCGCATAAGATTACAAACATCTGTCTCCCTTATACATATAAGGCATCACACACGGCTACTGATACTAACCTCACTGATATTTATAATCGCTTTCTAAGCGAACAAAAAGAGTCTTGAACACGAGTTAAGGAAAGCAGCACCCACATACCACTTTTTCAACAATCTGCTGATCCTCTCTAACTGTAATTCAGCCTTAACATGATGGAAAGCGTAATTATGACAGCGTATCCTTCTTATTACTTTACGCATTTCTTTCAATAAGGGAACTGCAAAAACCTTCATGCCTTCTGAAAAGCAGCAATAATGAGGGTAGTTCCTGCTTCAAAAACTGCTTTGCTGACAATTCCATGCAAAGGAAATAAGGCACATAATCCTAACCTAAGACTTCAACACTTCAGGCTAATAAATTCAACCATCAGTTTCAGTGCTGCAACAGAGCAAATTGCTGTAACCAAAGGGCAAATAAAAACACCTAATCTAAGCTAATTTTGGAGACATTCAGAGCATCTACCCTCCTGACCACATAAATAAGAACAGTCAGCATGTAAAAGGGTACAGGAGAAGGGCTGGAGAAAAGATAAGCAAAAAGAATTAACCCTGCAGTAGATGGGATAGCAAATAGTTTAATTACAGGAACAGTAAGCGAAGTGAGATGGAAGAGGGGCAGAAGAGCTTAGAAAGAGCTCTATTCCCTAGCTCAGCAAAAGCTCCTATTTATTAGGAAAAAAAGTCAATCCTTATGCTGTCATTAAGAGTAGATACCAACAGCAGACCTATGCCCATTCCTACTCTGCTTTGAATAAAACGGAGGCATCCACATTGGAAGTCAGTATGAAAACAGGATTGGACCCAGAGGTTAGAAGCATTTTAAGGCACGCGTTATTGTGCATATGACTTAATTGAGAAAAAGTAGGCAAAAGATGACCTATTCAAATTGATTTTAAGGAACATGAAAACATCCAACTTAAATTACATAATAAGAGTCGCAAGTTCATAAAAAGTAAGTGTAATGACTGAGTACCTCAATGTTTTTCAAGATCTCCCTACGATTCAGATGCCTAATTCTCCAGATTTAGGCAAAACTTACCTCTAGCTGTCCTGTATTTAACACTACTTGCTCCCATTTAAAGCTTTCTAAAAGAAAGCCAGTTTTTTTTTCATTCTGGGTTACTTGACTACATGAAAATGAGTGCCGTTTATTTATAAAACCTTATATCCTAGAAATGATTTTTTTTTTATATAGGAAAAGATGCTACTGACTTTTCTAGGAAATAAAAATGGAGAAAAGTGCAAAAAATGAATGAAACTTGTATTGTGTAACTGTGTAATTAATTCAATACTCACAGCCCTGGTTGGATCACCAAAATCTATCTTCAACCTCCCCATTGCTCTAATGATAGCAATAATGGACTGAATGGTGTTACTGTAGACAACAGCTTTGTACTGTTTACACTCTTCTTCTGAATAACCAGCCTCATGGATAATCCTAAAGAAGGAGAAAAATGTTTTTTTTTAATTCAAAGAAATGATTATTTATAACATACTGTTTCACTATACTTACTTCATTTGTTTGACAATTGTGCTTTTCCCTGATTCACCAGCTCCTGAAAAATAAACATGTAAAATTCATTAGAATAGACATTCATGTTCAGAATACTTTTAAAGTTAGTTTCCACATGTCCAGTACTTAACCAATATAAGTCCTCAAAAGCACAAAATGCATTTATTAAACATTACTTGTTACTAACAAAAGAATGCCTCTGGAAGTGTCATTTTAATAAGAAATCATTTAATTGGAAAGAGTTGGGAGTTTTCTTTTAAGACTTTGGAGTACTCAAGAGCATGATCTTCAGTCTGCAGGCGTTTCTAATAGAAATAGATTATCAGTTGTCCAGTTCTAAAACAGCCCTTTACCTACCTATCAACACCAAACCAGAGACTCCCTACACCCATTTCGCACTGCACTAACAGTGCTCAGTGTTGCAGGTGAGCATCTTGCTTTTGAGGGTTCTAGACTCATTGCTATTACTTGGCCCTTTCAAGAATAAACCAGCACAGCCAGACTGCTACTTGTGGAAAAGATTACATAAAGTTTGTCAGTCTTGCTGATTCCATTCTCAATGATTAACAAATTAAAAGAGGAACATTAAATTAAAATGCAAAGCTTACAAAAACAAATAATGTTCATCAGCAAACAAAAAGCACAATTTCTGCTGTCTCAATTTATTTGCCTTCAGATTCTTTGACCTGCTTCTTCCCCTGACAAATCCACGCAACTCATTTAAATCCCTTCAGACACAGCACCCTCCTTGTTTGCTTTTACTTGTCAGCTTGTGCTGAATCCTCCCCCTTATATCCCTGCCTCTCAACATGGCTTTGTAGAAGCACATATAACCTTCCCACAGTCTGCCAGTGTTTCTAAAGCACACAGAAAATCCGTTGTCCAATTTCAACAGAGCTAAAGAAAGTGCTGGTCTATAGCTGAAGCGGATGAGCAACCTGTCATGAATGAAAAGGAAAAGGTTGAAGTGCTCAGCACCCTATTCAGCCTTGGTCTTTACTGACAAGGTCTTCTCTTGAGCCTCCCAGATCCCATACAACAAAACTGGGGGCAGAGAAAGGCTAAAGGAAAACCGAGCTAGGAACTAAAATGAATTGGAAAAGGATTAATCAATGAGACCAAAAAAAGATATAAAAGGTGCAGAAGGATCTCAGCCATGCCTCTGATGTTTCTCTACAGAATCTTCACAAGTCATCATGATCACTGGCTGCTGAGAAAGACAAATACTGAACTAGGGAACAGCCTTGGAGAAACCGAGATACCCTGCAGAAGTTGGCAACCAACCACATACAGGGCTGCACTGACATAATTAAGAACACACAGCGTACAAAGAGAAGCTAGGGAATCTGTGCTTTTTCATCCTAGAGAGATGACCAGTGGGTGTCCTGTCTTCTTCACAAAACCCATTTAGATGCCTTTATACAGAAGCAGATTTTACTTTTAAAAAAAAAAAAAAAAAAAAAGATGAGAAAAACATGAAGCTGCAACAGGGGAAGTTCTAAAGATACTAGTGGAAAGAAACACACACACAATCACTGCACTGTTTTAAGGGTAATGGTTAAGCACTGGAACAGATTGCTCAGAGGGAGTATAGAACCTCATCCTTGAAAGATTTTTAGGGAAAAAATGGACAGGCCCCTGAGCAGCCTCAAATTTTGATCCAAGCGAGCCAAGTGTTCAGGGTAACACTTCCCAGTAGGTGACATCCAGACATTTTCTCCAAGTTAAAATGACACTTCCATTTTAACTAGTCTCTTACATAGCAATGCCTTCAGAATGTTCCTCCTGGCAGATTTACCCAGTGTGTAGTCTTATGACAGTCCGAAACCAGCTCAGGGCTGTTTGCCTGCCAAAAGTTGTCCCACGTCCCTGCAACACTGTTAGTGATGTGGCTGGCTTTTCTTTCCTCCAACACACAGCACAATGAGTGTTAGTGCCAACACAAAGCACTCTGCAGAAGTACACAGATACGGAATAAAGAGAAGGATTGTCAATTTCAACCTAAGATTGGCTTAATGTCATATTTAGTTAGACTCCACATTTATCAAAAACAGGTCTTATTTGCATATTTCTTTCTACAGAGCAGCAATAGTTCTCACTCTCTGAACTGCCACAGAAATTCAGTATCAGATATATAAAAAAACAAAAATCTGTATAACAACTGTAAGAACACTGACCTCTACAAGTTGCTGATGAATACTGTACCTTATGACAACAGAACAAATTCAGGCAAAGTTTACACATATCTTTCAAGAATCAAAAGGATGACATGAACACCTGTAGTATCTACCAACTAAAAGCCAGAAAGCCTTTTAAACAAAGTTACACTTTAAGAGACACTATTTCAAGGTCACTCATTACGACTACAATTAAAGTATTTATAATACAAATTAACACTTAATCTGTAAATGCTTGATTTTGCACTTTATGGACAAACATGGGACAAAACCATCAGGCAGTGAATTCAAAGTTTTGAAAAAAGTAGTAATTTTTCCTTTTATACAATTATGCATTTAGCAGCAATTTTGGAGCACATTGAACAAAAAAAATATTATCGTTGTATTTCACTTGCATTAACTTGTGGAGTGCTATTTCCCTTAAAAAAATTACAATATTTGACTGTAATTGAGCAGGTAAGTGCCAGGCCTGGTCATGTTATCTCATACTTTCAACTTTTTCCTACATTCTCTCTATTCAGTTTTTCTTGAGTGGAATATGGTCTGTTAGTACTCAAGTATCACAGATAAGTGTACCACACCTTTCACTTTCACAAAAGCTCTAACAGCTCTAACACCACCACAATCATATAATATAAACAAAAGTAACTGGTTTCACAGCACCTAACACCTACAGTGAGCTCCTGGACATGCATTGTCTATTATATCTTCCGGAAAATGAAAGAAAATAATTTTTTGTCTGCATCTTTGCTGACAATGTCTTACATAAGAAAATGATACCTTACTATCCCATACTGAAAAAGATTCTTTTGCTTCCCTAAATAAAAGCCTCAGCCAGGGTTTCTGGCAAATGCAGAGCCACACTGATGCAAAATTCCCTCTTACCTCACTGTGAACAAGCTGTCCTCATCTAGAGGAAAACATGAACTTGCTTTTAGAAAGTTTTCAACACGAGCATGAAAAACATAGTATTACATTTGCACAAAGCAGGCAATATGAAAAACATAGTATTACATTTGCACACTAAATGATAGCTGTTCTTTCTTTCATATGCGAACGCAGATTTAGACAGAACTGTATACTCCTTCCTCATGTAATAAAGCATGTTATTGATGGCCTTTGATACTTGACTTCAGCTTCACTACTGCCAATAATTTTAGTACTACTGCTTCCTTACACAGCAAGCACTCTAAAATGAGTGATTTCAGGAAGAATCATTTATGAATCCAAGTACAGAAACTGCTTTTTGCAAGTACCAGGATCTATACAACATTTCTAACTTGCAAACAGTTGCTAATTGCTTACTGAAGAATCTACTCATACACCATAACATAAATAGAAAACTTCCAACAGACATTTTTCAACTTTCCAGACTGTACAGCAGAAGACTTGCACAGAAACACATCTGAAATTTAAAATAAATCCACTGACTCAGAAATTTTTGATTTCACCTACAAGTCCTCTCCCTACAACTGTCCTGCCTGTCTTCTGTCATATGTTATCTTTTTATAGCAGAAGGTACAAAACATGGTGCCAGTTCCTTACTTGCCACTAATCATAGCACAAGTTAAAACAACCAGTAATTTCTGTTCTTTCTACTATGCACCCAGTGGTCTTATATAGATTAGAAGCATAATCACTTAAATTTATCACCCCAAGATACCTTACCAGATACTAGTAGCTGCTAAATATTGCAATATTCAAAACACCTGTGTTACTACAAGAAACTCAAACAGGGAAAACTTGTTATTACACTTCTAGCACACAAGTGGACCGCTAAATGAAACTCAGACACCAGTACCCAAGCTACCACACCTGCTCTCACTAAATTCTATTTTTGTCATATTCTCCCGCTCCAACACTTTCACTCCTTCCTCCAAATAAAAATAATAAAAATAAAAAATAAAAACCACCCACAGACAAGAATTACGCTTTTGTGGCTGCTGCAGTTCCGTAACTACTGAAGTTCAAACATGTCAGGAAACTTTGAATAAATTAATGTGTGAGTAATACCTGGAAGAAAGTACTTCTGTAATTTAACTATGTAGTAATGACTGCGAGTCCCAGATTACATCATGACTGCTTGAAAGCACAGGAGTAACAGATTCTAAAATTACAACACTGACTCATCTACAGAGAACTGAGATAATTCTAGGTTTGCAGTATCTGCACACTGGTTTATTTCTAGCCTAGAAACAATTCTGCAAAGTACTGTCGCTTTTGGAAAGTCCCTAAACAAAACCCAAAACTGATCATATCTTTCCTAGGTTTTCAATGCTGCTCTAAATAGGTCTTTGAAATTAACAGTACAGAACAAAATATAGTCAATATATTATGTTCTAAGCACCGTTATAAGAAATTGTTTATACAAAATGTTACCTCAAAAAAAGAGCTACCCAACAAAGTCCTACGCATTTATCCAGGTCGAGACCTGCAATGAACTTAAATTATTTTAAATTTCCAAGATACCTAGACTACTATTGTTATAAATACATGATTTAAAAAATATATTAAAACATTTAATATTGAAATACTGTTTTTATATTTTTGATCTCAGAGTTCAAAGCATCATCTTACAATTTTAGTAGGATTCTACCTTAAAGTGCAGAAAAAAATTGAGCCTATTAACTGAACTATTTCTAAAGTATATACTTTTCCTGTAGCTGCTTAGCTTTGCCACCTACAAACCAGAAACAAGAGATATCACCGTATATATACGAAAAGGATCCTTATAAATATATCCTGAAATTTGCACTAGATTGAACCCTTTAGTGTACCTTCATATGGCCACTCTTCTTGTTTTACATGAAGACATATCACCATCTTTACACCATACTTGCAGTTCAGTGATTGAGATACAAGAGGA